GCACATCACACATTTCGACGTCCTGCCTTACACCTTTGTGGATGTCCTCTTCAATCTTCTATTTGTGGTAGAAAATATCTTCAGAATTACAAAAACTGATACTTTCTGTGCATCTAGATATCCATCGCCTGGTCTTTAATTCCTCCATTTCCATTCTTACATTTTCAGAGTTCAATCCAGAATCAAACCTGTTTTCCTAACCAAATGAAACTTTCACCAGTATAGTCTTCTTCAGAAAAATGGAGTGTAGACATGTCAATCACAGATTTTTCCATCACCAATACAACATTGACTTCCGAGGTTTTTGTTTCTGTTCTCTTCTCTGGCTGTCACTCATTCCTGAATAAATCATTCGAGTGATTGTTTTAGGATATTTAACGCCTGCTGTTGAACACATATAACAGAATATTATTTTGGTTAGGGGTTCTTTAAGTTTGTCAAGGAAAAAAGAGCTCGAAATTGAATCTCAACCATGCTCGTTTGTCATGACACATGAGTTATCTAAAGCAAGCTTCTATCTGAGCGGAGCTTGAGTAAATTGGACTTTAGTTTTTTTTCCTAGTTGGTACGCACACACACTTGTCTCTTCTGAGACTTGAACCCCTGACCTCCCTTTGGGAAGTAAGAGGGCTGATACCGGTAAATTGGACTTTAGTTGATCTTAAGATGTTTATGTAGCCTACTCTAAGCCATGATTATAAATTCAAGCGTGTCAAGAAATTATCAAGCTTGGCTTGTTTGTCTGACAAGGGATCACGAGCACTCTTAAGTGAACCTTTAACCAAATTGATCATGAGCCAAGTTCAAGAAGCTTTGTTCTTTGTGTAGCTACAATGATGGAGTTGAGCTGGTAGTATGCAGTATGAGTAAGCGGTGGTGGCAAAAAGTAGTCCAAGCATATGTTCAACATTGTGTTTCCCCTAGTATAACTGGCTACTTGTATGTTATAGCTTGAATATAGTAGGCATCTTCCTCAGTTCATTACTTCATTAGAAAGAGCTCTTCTCCCTTTTCTCCTTGAGCTAGGCTCTACAACAACAAAAATCTTCACCTGTTTACCTATCAATTTTCTACAGCCTTTGCTGCTTCCTCTAGGGCCATGGAAATAAAGAGTACCAAGAGCATGTTTTCTTTTTTAACACGGTCCTCCTAGATTCTTGGAGAAATTCCCTGATTATTATTGTTATTTAAATAAAACTCGTAACTTAAAATGTTGAAAGCATATGCAATTGGTTTTCTATTGTTAACGTTGTCATTACACCTTTTTAAATCCATGTTCTAGTATTATAGTTAAATATGAGATCATAGTACTGCTGGTATTATTGAGATCACAGTTTCAACCTCTGAAGTAGGTCAAATTTTAACTTATACTCCTAAACTCTAAAATGCATGATAAGCCAATCATATATAATACATTACCAAACTGGCTCTTAAAAGGACACTAAAACACATTCAAAGCTTTCTTCAAAATCCATAAGTGATGCTCATGTGTTTCCCGTAACAAAGCCATTTACGTATAATGCATTACCCAACTGGCTCTTAAAAGGACATTAAAACATATTTGAAGCTTTCTCTAATTTTTATCAGTGGTGGTCATGTGATGATTCAGAATGCAGCACACTGCCACTTTGTCTTTAAGAACATGTTCCCTGGCCACTCAGTAGTTTTATTTTATTTTATTCGGGTCTGGCACTTGCTCAGCGTCACTATCATTCTTCACGCTTTGCTGCTGCCTCTATTGCCATGAAAATGGAGACTACCAAGAGCAATTTTTTGAACATTCTTAACACGGTTCTCCTATATTCTTGGGGATAATAGTATTTATTTATTTATTTTGGATAGGAAATTTGAATGTCAATAGCTGAGAGCAACTGCAGTTGACTGATACAAATAAGCTGTTCATAGGAGATATAGTGCTATTATGTCGATGAACATATAATATCAACTGTCATAAAAGTTCATAGGAAATTTCTTTTGGAAGGACTATTGTTACATCTTCGTCATGGGTTCTGAGTATGACTGCCCCCCTCCCTCTCCTCCTCTTTTTAAGTACAATTTGAAACCATGTTCAAAATTTAACTCGAAAAACATTAAACTATTAAAAGTGTCCCCCTAAACTTTCAAGCGCATAATCTAATATCATTAATGAAAATTATTATTATTATTATTATTTGTAAATAAGAATTCATTAAAATCGTTCAGAAGGGGAACGCATCCCTGAGAAACAACAGAAGGCCAAATAGGGCCTCTAAACCCTAACAATTCCAAAATCTCTACAAGCTCATCCAATGATTTACAATTTCTTCCTAGAACCCAACAAAAAAGAGTGCTAAGAATGGAGAACTTCAACAACCCAATATGATTTTCCTTTCCTTTAAAGGATCTCCTTTTCTTTCAAGCCACAAACAATCAATGAAAATTTTGAAATTACCACCTTACATAAAACTTTTTATTATTAGGATGTTAACACTAAAAGCAATTTTCATTATTTTAGATACTTGGGATAAATATTCCAAACCGATGGGCAGATAGATTACAGTATTACTAGCAGGATTGGAGTAAAATGGACAAAATAGAGACAAGCTAGTGGTGCCCTATGTAATGAAAAATACCAAATAAATTAAAAGGGAAATTTTATAGAATGGATGTTAGGCCAGCTATCTTGTATGGGGCAGAGTGCTGGCTCTAAGAAGAAACAAGTAGCTGAAATGAGAATGCTGAGATGGATTATAGGGGTGACTGGAAGAGAGAAACTTACTAATCATAGTGTAAGGGACAAATTAGGAGTAGCACCTATTAGTGATAAAATAAGAGAAAGTGGGCTTAGGTGGTTGGACATATGCAATGTAGACATACTGATGCACCAGTGAAAAAAGAAAAAAATTAGTTTGCATAGAAGGTAAGCGGCAATGAGGCTGACCAAAACTAAAATGGAATCAAGTCGTTAAGAATGAATAGAGGAAATTTGACATGTAATAGAATGGAATGAAAAAAGAGAAGAAATTTGTTCGAACCGCAATTCATTTTCGGGTGAAGGCATGGTTGATGAGTCTTTCCTGTAATCCCTTACAAACAACTAAATCCAATAAATCCACATTGCTCACAATCATGGGATAACCACAGTTATCACATCATCCAACCTGTTATCTTCATCAGCATTGGCAGTGTTAATAACCACCATCACATCTTCAAAAGCAAATTCAAAAAAGGAACAATACTGACAACCTTTTTCTATTATATAGAAGTGATAAGAATCAAACCTTTAATCCCACCTCTGCCTGTGAGATGACAGGCAAACGCTTAATATTATTGTGCTACAATATCTTTGGTTACTAACATCAGTAACTAAACCAAGTGGACTAAACTACAATAGACCCCCGCCTCTATCAATCTCCGCACCCCCAAGAACTTTTAGAATATAGAAGTTATTGAAGAAGAGTTATTTTGGATAAATCAGGTCCATCATACTGAAACTTGGCTTGCTACAAAATCTATTTTAAGATTTCTTTCGTAATGATTTGCCTGATACTGTTACATGTTCTGTGATGGTGATAAAGGTCAAAATAAATTCCAAGATTCATGCATAGTTTTAGGATTATATAGGTATCATGCTTTTATTTAGTTCACCAATAGATTAGGTATAAAGGAAGCTTTTATGACTTCATGAAAGACCACTTCAGATGCGATTGCGGTTATATCCTTTTTAAGAGTCCTGTTCTAATTATTCTAATTCAACAGTTTCATATATTTCCGATTTGACTCAACTTGGTCCCGCATTATATGGAACAAGTCAATGTTTAGGTTACACAAACTATCATTGTTCTGAACTGGAAAGCATGTAGGAACAAGATGATCACTAATACCAAACCAAGGAAGTAAGTGGTGGATGAGAGTGATTTTTTTTATATTCCTAGCCAATCTATAAATTCTTTTTCTTGGGCAATCTCAACCACTGATTCATTATTTTGGATAGATTGAAACTCCTTGGCAAAATCTAAAGTGAAGTCACATCAATCTGTACTTCAGTTCCAGCTCCAATGATGCAAATTCCAAGCTCATTGGTCGTTATTCATTAACAATACAAGCTCAGTTGCTGGTGACAATGTATGGGGATTTTTTTGTCCTTGTTCATATTTTCCATGGTGTACTTAATGATCTTGAACGTTCAGTATCCAAGTTAGTATCCTTTACGTACAAGCCTGGTAGATTCTTATTCTACCGGGGTTAGGTGACTCTTAGAATTCTGAATTCTTTACCGGAACTTTTTTTCGTGAAGAAGTTTTCAATTCATTTGAAGTTTCTGTTCTATAGAAGTTTCGTTCCTTTTCTTTTCTTTTCCTTTTTATTGGAGTTTTTGCTTTTAATCCAATTGAAAATTTTCGTTGGGTTGCAAACCATCACATTTGGTCAGGGCACAAATCTCTCTCTCAAAAACAACCTGTTATGTAAAATATCTCGGTTCCAGTTTGATGCTTTGCATCATTTGACAATAACTTAAAAACTACATTTAGGTTTCTAGACATACTCATGTTCCATAGCCTTCCACTCACAACTTTATTTCAGTCTGTTGCACCCTTGAACAGGAAAAAGAAAAGGGCAAATAAATTAAATAAAAAATAAAAGAAGCACGATGATATCTGGAATCAGTATGACCAATTAATTATCCAACTGCTCTTGATTTTGTGGATACTTGGCTTTTGTTGGCAACTCTTGACAATGTTTCATATTGTTGCTTGTATGCAAAACAGCTGAAGGACATGGCTGAAAGGCTGCCTGTGGGAGCGGCTCGAAACATCAAATCATCTTCCTTTGCTTCCTTTGGCTGCAATCCCGCGCCCAGTGATGTTTCAAATGCTTCTACTGACCGATTGAATGGTCAAATAACTTGCCAAGAACCAGATTTAAATGGATCAAACAGCCAGTTGCTTTCTAATGGGTCAAGCACTGCCAGTACCCGCAGTTTGGGTCACAACAAACCAGGCCATGCAGAAGCTACAATAAGAAATGGGGGCAGAACAAAAGAAGGTGATTCTTGTAATGAAAGTGAATGGGTTGAGCAAGATGAGCCTGGTGTTTACATTACACTCACCTCGTTACCTGGAGGCGTCATAGATCTTAAGCGAGTTCGTTTCAGGTATGTTTTATCTAACAATAACCCAAATTCTTTTTTGCCTGTAATAATACATTTAAAATAAAACCCTTCGTTTCTCATGTAAATTTATGCTGCTGTGCATGAAATACTGGCTAAAAATTTCTACGGTGATCTTTTTGCTTGGTCTAACACCCCACTGCATCTTGACCTGGCTAGGCCATTGACCTGGTAAATTTTGGAGTAGGGTTTTCTAAGAAGTGGAAGAAAGACATTTAAATCAACCAAAATTTATCTCGTACTCATTATTTCCTTTTTATTCAATTTTTGATACAATGCAATTAAAGAATTCCGGAGTTTTGCTTTGTTGCTTGCTTATGAAGCCTTAGTAACTATTGATTGGCTGTGCCGACCACTAAAACGTAAAGTTATAAAAGTTCGCTCCAATAAAAGATAATGAGAGAACATTATCTTTACTCAAGTAAGAAATTTTTATATGAATTTGTTGTTCTAAATCAAAACTAAAAACATCTACAATGTTTGAATGCAGTCGGAAGCGATTTAGTGAGAAACAAGCAGAACAATGGTGGGCAGAGAACCGAACAAGAGTATACGAACAGTATAACGTGCGCATGGTTGACAAGTCAAGCGTGGGTGTTGCCAGTGAGGACTTGGCACATTGACATGTGGAAAAACATGTGTAAATGAAATGCTCCTTTTTTTTTTTGGTCGGTCTATGTTCCTGCTTCGGTTACAAGGAAAGATCATATTGATCGGTTAGGTTGGCTTTCATCTTATCAAGGGTTGAGGGAACCTAGTGTGTCATAAGAGCAGAGAGAAGTAGAGGGATTTGGTTTGGGTTTATATTCCTTTTTTTCCTTTTTCTTTTTTCATTTTTTCCCGAAATGTACCTCGTGTGGGGGTTGAGGGTGAGAAATGTAAATTCGTAGTAGATTGCTTGCTCTTGTTGAAAGCAGGTACCATGTAAATTCATAAGGAATGCATCTTTAGATCTATTCTTTTCTTTCTCCACTTTACTATTTCTCGTGTTTTACTGTTGGATTATTCTACTACCACCAATCATCAGTACTACAATAACTACAAGACTATAACCATGGTTTGTAGTGCGGTATCGGTCGCTGTCACGGTGTAACGAGATTGGCGAATATAGGTGTAAATTGGCCGAACCAGCTGATTCATGAAGGGTTTGTATGGCCGATATGGCGAGGCATGACTATTATTCCAGATTATCTTTAGATGTAACTTAGAAGAGATACAGGTGCAATGCATTTTCTTTGTTGTAGTTTTTAAGACTACGGTATTGCATGCTCAAAACTGCTATAAAGTTAATTATATAGTTTTTGTGAGACGACTAGTGAATTGATAAGATGGATGAATTGTATATTGAAGCTCCATTCCAGAGAGTTTTCTCAACTTTTTTAATATATGTTAAATTCGTGATGTTCACTTGGGGATATGACTCTTTGCTGAATGAGTGCATTTGATTTTTTTATTTTTTAACAAAAATGGTCTAGTAATTGGAGGACATCTCACCCGTACTAGCCGTACTATCCCTGACACGATTGAGATTTATGTCGTGAAATTGTGTACATATTCCATTTGTTTAGGGGTAAAATTTTTTTTAAAAATATATTTTTATTTTTTTATTGTTTGTCTGTCATATAATATTTATTAAGAAAAAAATATTAAAAACTAAGAAAAATAATTTACCCATTAACTTATTTTACACGTCTCACTTAATGGACTCAACCTAGATTTTTGTTATATATATATATATATATATCTTACCTGAAAAAGAAAAATATTTTAGATCCAAATAAATGGAGCCGATGCAAATGAAATTGTACCGATCCCTATACTTATATTCTTGTCATATTTCTTTTAATCTTGTTTGGTTGATTAATGAAAAAAATAAAAGAAAATAATGGTGTTGTAAATTAATCAAGTTTGGGAGAAGAAAGAAAAGGAAATGATTTAAATAAATTTACAAATATACCCTTTTACATTTATAAGACTAATATACAGGAAAGAAGTGTTGAGAATATATAAAAGATTGTGTTCAACGTCTTCGCCCTAATGGCGCATGGTATTTTGATAGTCTTTCTTTTTTTTATTTTATTTTATTTATTATTATTATTATTATTATTTAAAAAGGGGCAAAATTGGTATTGGAGAAAGAGTTTCATTAAACTTTGTGTCATTTTCTTTCCCTTCATCCCATTTTGGTGGGTGAGTCGATTATAGTGTGTGTAGAATCATATTTATAGAGAGAAATAAGACATAAAAGAGGAAGATAGAAATTGCAAAATGTGACAAAATGGGAAGAAAAAAGGGCAATATCGAATTTTTATATTTACTTTTTGTCAAAAAGTTATCAGAGGAGGTTATTTGTACATTTTTTTTAGAAAAATAGGGACTGAAATGCTCAAGTTTAAAAAGGAGGGATGCATTGTGTACAAAACCTATACTACAGGAGATTTTCTGCACTTAACCCTTTGCATAGTGTATGTAATATATACTGCAACCCATTTTTATATTCTCTTCCTATTCTTTTTATCTCTTCTTCTTATTTAAATTTATTATCATAGGTTTATGAATTCAATATGTTTAATTTTATGCATCGCTTTCAAAATATAAAAACATTTACAAAATAATGATAATTATAATGAAAAATATAACAATTTTGCTCGGTTTTATAGGAAGGAAGGAAAACAGGTGGAGGGAAGATAGGAGTGAAGAAACAAATTTCTTGGTAAAGAGGAGGCAAGAAGAGAAGAGAAAAGAGAGTGGATGAGTTATCCTTCTTCCTTTACAAATTTTTATCCCTCTAAATATGGACGGAAGAAGTGAAGAAAAAAAAAGCCAGACTATTATAAAATAAATTTAAATTACAATTTTTTCCTTGTAATTAACACTCACCTTTCTATTATCTCCTAACAAATAAAATAATATATTATTTGATTGTCTTTTCTTCCATTCAAAAAAAAAAAGAAAAAAAGGGAAGAATATAATCTCTTTCTTAGGATGTTTCATTAATCATTCTTCTATTATTTTCATCAAAATTTTTTCCATCCTACCAAACCGAACATTAATATTATTTTAGTTCTTATATTTATCAAGTATTTCTCTTTCTTAAATTACTTTTTTTATTAACATATTAGTTTATAATTATTTTTTTCCTACCTCAACAAGGACACGGCTTATTTGGCACACGGCTCAAATAGACTGTTTCGGTGAATTCCCCCAAAATGATGTAAGTCGGCGAGGGAAAAAAAAAAAACTTCTCAGTCCAACCTTAATTCCCTATCTATATATATGTATATATATATATATCTAGTAAGTCGCTTCTCATTTATTCTATTCCTAAATTCGTCTCTCTCTATTGATGGATATGGACGAAGTTGGTATCGCAAGAGCGACAGCTGTGCTTCTCAAAGGACTACAATCCGGCGACAGTGAAAGCCCCGACAACAACAGCGGCAACAGACATGTTCTTGAAGGTGGTTGGCAGAACTCGGGGCCGAAGCTAAGTAACGAACAACTACAATTTGTAAGCTTGGAGCGCAAGAAAATTGAGTTGGCCATGTCCCGAGCCACCACAACTGGTCGCTACTTCGATGAGGTGTTGACAGAGATCCGTACCTGATATTAGATATTGTATTGTTTACAAGATTTCATACATAGTGGATAAATAATTTAATTATTTATTTCAAAATAAAATATTATATAATAAATATTCCATTACATAAACTTCATAACAGTTTAAAAATAAAATAATGCAACATAAATTAAACACGTTCTTCACAAAAGCGGTTCCACAAATTTTCAATTAAATCTTTCCTCAACTGTGTATTTGTCTCTTTGCTGCGAATTTGGACTTGGCGAGAGTAAATGTGTGCTGCTAAGACTAATGGATTTGAATTAAAGTGGGAATCGAGATTGTCTCCCCCGGTGGCAAAGTTCATCTTCCAACATTGACATGACGCACATCTTCAATGATTATGTTGTGAAGGATAATGTACGTTTTCATTATAAGGCACAAGTCCCCTTTATCCCAAAAATGCACTGGTCCTTGCGTTATTGTCCACTTGCTCTGCAAGACCCCAAAAGCTCGTTCCACATCTTTCCTACAGGCCTCTTGTTTTTGAGTAGAAAGTTTTTCTTTTACTGTAATTGGGTGCGGGATAGTCTGCATCAAAGTTGCCTACTTAAGGTATATACCATCAGATAGGTAATACCCTATTGTATGGTAATGGTCATTCACAACGAAATTAACCGAAAGAATTTGGCTAGTAATGATACTGTAGAATACCGGATAATGATCCAGCACATTAATATCATTATGTGAACCGGCATTCCAAATAATGCATGCCAGATCCACAAATCTTTTGAGGCAATTGCCTCCAATATGAGCGTAGGCATATGAAAGCGTTCTTCGTGCGTGCCACGCCACGCCACCGGACAATTCTTCCACTCCCAGTGCATACAGTCGACAAAACCAAGCATACCTGGGAGTCCTCTCTCCTCCCTTTCTTGAAGTAGTCGTGCTATGTTGGCTTCGTTGGGTGGGCGCATGTACTCTTCCCTATACACACCAATAACAGCCTTACAAAATGTCATCCGAGTTTCAATGGCAGTGCTCTTGTCGATTTTAATATACTTGTCACAATGATCGCCTGCACAACCATATGTAAGTATACGTATTGCAGTTGTCATCTTTTGTATAGAAAACAACCCCAAACGACCTGTTGCATTCCTTTTTTGGATGAAGTAGTCGTCATAAGCTTTAACATCATTCAGGATACGAAGAAATAGTTCTCGTCGCATCCTGAATTGTCTGTGAAAGTACTCCAGTAGATATGTGCAATTTTCGCCAAAGTAGTCTTTCATTAGTTGACGGTGGCTTCCTTCTCGATCACGATGAATGTACTGCCTCTTACGCGATTTAAAAACTCACTCTACTATCTCTGGATTCACTGAATTCAAAATCTCGTGAAAGGCATCTTGATTACATTGAATCATCGAGTCAATAGGGTTATCTGATGAAGAAGATGAAGAATTAGAGCTTGACAAAGGAAAAAATCGTGATGCGGAAGCCATTGGAATTTTGAGATTGAAAGAGCTATGAGTTGATATTTTGTTAGAATAAGTTGAGATGAATGTAATGATGATGAGATGAACAAATGCTTATTTATATAACATAAAAAATATAGCCGTTAGGAAAATGTTAAAAAATAAATTTTATTTTAAATTTTAAAAATATTAAAATATTAATATTTTTGGAGAGCGAAAATGCACCATTGGAGTACATGCGATAGCTAAAATTTGGAAATTCTAAAATGCTGACGTGATTATGGGAAATGCTGACGTGACTATTGAAAAATGCTGACGTGGTAAATTCGGAGAGCTTAAATCCAGAGAGTCTATTGGAGATGCTCTTATGTTGTAGTGCAAGTTTGTAGTCTCTTCAATTTTATCTGTCTGCTTGTCTCTTCATATGCAAGACTTAATAGCATGTGATAGAGGTTGTTAGAGGGCTTGACTTAAATTGTTGGGATGTTCCTTAATAGCTTTCAGGTGTTTTCACTAATTGACGATCTAAAGAACCTCGTGTGACCTACCTCAACTTCCTGTCATGATTGAACTAGGATCCTCTCTTATAATGGAGATGTTTGGGTGTGTAGGCCTCGATTATTTGAAAATTCTAGTAACACGTTTGTCATGTCGGTAAAAATGGGCCCTACAACACTACCACTTTGATGATAATTCTCGAAGAATACAATTTGTCAGTTAGTTGACAAGGATAAGGGAGGTAGGTTAAGAAGGATAAACCTAACCTACTCAATCGACATTTTGGGTAACTTACTTGACTCAGGAGGCAACAATAAATGGAATGAATGACAATTGAACGAGGTACCAAAAAAAAAAAAAATACAGTTCATTGCATATAATACATTGTCACGGTCATTGACTTGATCGTCAGAGCGTCCTCAACCAGCACCACACCGGTGCCATTCGTAGGGACAACATCCCTTTATTTTACAATCGTTCTGGGTCACGTGAATTTTGGCATCAACAACATTCTTCTAGGCGTGTGTAGTTCATTGTATTTAATTAATTCATTGTTGAAAGTGTTATGCTATGTGCGGTTACGATCACACATCGGTCCTTGGATTTTATGAGTTCCACAGTGAAACAAACAAATCGAGGCATTGATATCGTGCAGTCATAATTGCACTACCGTGACCAAAACCTAATCTCTCAAGAAAAATTCACCTAATCAATCTATGATTTAATATAGGTGTGAAAGTATTACCCGAGTGATAAAAGGGTTAAGCCTAAAGTGCTCCCACTCTATTAATCTTAGGTTAGATTCCTCCATCCTTCCACTAACTACTATTCATTGATAGGCTTAAAATTTTTTTTTATCTGGTCTGATATATATATATATTGTGGCCTTCTAGCTAGTCTTTAATTAAACCAAGCTTATAGAGTGATCTATATAACACACTCGGGAACCTATAAAAATTCCTTATATAGTTGCTGACATTTTGAGCTCCATTGGATGGAATTGGCCTGTATTTTACTCTTCCTCGTATGAGAGACATTAAAATATGATTCATAACTCCAACATCCAATTTTCTGATTAAACCCCTTCCGGTCCTACACATCATATCCACATTAAATCATGGTAAGACTATCAAGTTTCAACATGTCCTTTTAAATGGACTTTAAACTCTAAAGATATGTAGATTACATTCCGCAGTATTCAATTAGAATCTTGAAATTGAAATTAGTGTAGTTGAAAAAAAAAAATTAGTTTAAAGTTATAAAAATTGAACTAATATTTTTTTTTTAATTTCTCCAATTGTAGTTTCAAAACTTCAATTCTATATAACTGAACTTAACCATAAAAAGATAAATTTGAGATCAATTAGTTAAGACGAATTGCTTCATGGACAACTTTTGATCGGTCAAGTATACCCTCTATTTTCTTCGTATTTGATAAATAAAACCGATCAAAATAAACAATTCCTTATTTTGACATTGCTCCTCTTTTAGAGATTGTCACTGAGGTAAAATGGAATTTGAGAGGGTTGCTTGATGCTTCCTTCAAATTGTGACAGGATAGTTTTTATATTTTATTTATTTATTTATTTCTTATGGTATAGTTTTAGTTGTGATAGGAATATATCTGATGCTTACTTCAGATATGGAAACTATTGATCTTTTTTTATTTTCTTGGGGGAAAAGCAAAGGCCACGGAACGGCAACGGCTCTACATAAAAACAAGTCAGACCAACTTACCTTCTTCGTTTTCTGCTCAACTTCTCTCTCTCTACACACACATATCTCTCTGTATCGTTCGATATGGAAGACTTTGGTATCGCAAGAGCGACGGCTGTGCTTCTGAACGGACTGGAAAACTCCGGCGACAGCGAAAGCCCCGGCAACAACAGACATGTTCTTGATGGTGGTTGGCAGAACTTGGGGCCGAAGCTAAGTAACGAACAACTACAATTCGTAAGCTTGGAGCGCAAGAAATTTAAGTCGGCCATGTCCCGAGCCACCGCAACGGGTCGCGACTTCGATGGGGTGTTGACAGAGATCGAGGATAAAGTTTCAGTTGAACTAGGGAGGATTTTGGCGGACACGTTGGATCCGGTGATGGAGAGCCTGACGCAGGTGGTGGTCGAGGAAGAAGGGCACGTTTGCGGGGTGTGTCAGGATGAGATGGAGGTCGGGGAAGAATCTAGTGCCATGGGGTGCATGCACCAGTTCCATGGACCCTGTATTTACAAGTGGCTTAATGAGGCCTATGCTTGTCCACTCTGCAGATATAGAATCTTACTGTAGTAATACATATATAAACCACAATCTGAATTTTCATAACATGTGTACAAGCTTCAATGTACGTTTATAATAGTTGATTACTCCATTTTTTATGATTGATTAAAGCACTGGGTAATTTTTATTTCTCAGAATGGTTTTGATTCATTTTGCATGACAGATATGGAAACTATCTTCTAACATAGCTTACATAAACACGGACACAGTTCCCTTGAGTTATTTAATCTCTATCAGGATTTTGACAGATATGGAAACTATTTACGTCCTGTAAGTATTTATTTATTTTTAAGTTTTAACGGTTATCAGGTTTACGAGATCAATTGTTCTAGCCTTCTAGGGTTTTGGTTCAACTATATATATATATATATACACTTCATTTTTTTTTTTTTTTTTTTCTTTGGTTGTTAGGGTTTTGGTTCAACTATATACTTTTCTCTTTGGTTTTCAGGCTTGCTATCAATTTTTCTACGGTTTTGGTTCTAGGGAATTGCACTCAAAACATCACTTCTTTTTCTTGTTTTCCAAGCTTCAACACAATATTGCCTTGGGGTTCAAACACTGGACATCCCCTTTGAGAGGAATTGAGCCACTTTTAGGACACATGCACTTTCATCACATCTCATGTGCAGACAAGAACCCCCAAAAAATTAAAATCTAAATACATGCTCGACAAAAAGTGAGCAGTTAGGTCACAATACTAAATAAAACACACAAAACTTAGCATGGTATGCATGCTGCAAGGACTTCAATATATGATAATAGCTATACAAAGCATCACAAGGTATTAGTAAATCCCCATTTACAGGGAAATGTGTTGCGGTGTATGATCGATCAGCTTTGGTACGAATCTACAGGCAGAGCTCCATGCAGAAGAGATTTTCAGTCAATGTTAGTACGACTACTTCCTGCATTCTAACATGTTTTAAACTATACAACTTCATATCAGGTCACCATTCTCTCCCTCGGGTAGGTATGATCTTGAGAACCACCTTCTCTAAAACTTTTTCCGTTCCACTGCCACCAGTTTCTTAATCCATGGAAGAACTTGTTTCCGCAGTTTCATCCTTGCTGAAACTAGATGGCATCCCTGCACCAGATCTAGCGAATATACCATGCATTAGCATCAAGTAATTGATATAAAGAAAAATAATAATGCCAGGAAGGTTATCCGAAATTAATTTACTTTTGCAGAAAAATAAAACTAATACTATGTTGAAAACCAATTTATATCAATCCTCTAAATTGACAAAAATCAGTTTGATCTTATGTTTATGCTGCTTTCAAGAAAATAAAATATGGGATTACTATCCATGTGTCCATTCATTTCATACTTCAAGCCAACATCACAATCAAAATTTTTAGTTCGCATCTAACCCTTATGACACTTTGTTCAAACAGCGAATTTCATTACTCTCCCTTGATGCATGGTTATATATGTATGTGTATATTCTTTTCCTAAGCCAGAATTTATTAACCAAACAAAAACAACAAACTTACAAACAACATGAGAGGCATAGATTTTATTAACTTTAGCTATAATTTACTCACTGATGGCTAAGTTTCAAGGAATGCCAATAACCTATCCCAAGGTTTGAAAAGGGTGAAAACAGTGAACTAACCAATTGATCTCTATCGATCATTGGTCATTTCAGAAAGAAATTGGCTAAATTTAATTTATTTATCACCATTAAAGAAAACAGATGCTCCCAAATACCACCACCACAGCACCACCTCACTATACTACCAAACTGCCACAACCACCGCATCACCACCTAACTACACTGTATGGGTGCAATGGGCAGATTGGGTAATGCGGGCTGGTCAAATATGGAGATTACGTTTATTCAGAGCACTTTTTTTAAACTTTATTCAGAGCACTCTTTGCTTCTACAGTTGAAGAGCAATGCATACACCATGCACTAAATGGTACTTTTGAAAGTACAAAGAATTTTTCCCCAATTCTAGAGAGAAATTTTACACTTCCAATAATCTTCAACCACTTTTCCCTCTCAATCCCCCTTATTTATAGACGGTTATAG